GTGAATCATTCTAGAGAATTATCAAACCTGAGGGAGGGTCATGGGAACCCCTAATTTTGTAATCAGTCAGGCAGAAGTGCAGTTAACCTGGAGACCTCACTTGTGGCTAGCATCTGAAGTAGGAACAGTCTTGTGGGACTGAGCCCTTAACTTATGGGGTCTGCACTAACTCCAGCCAGTTAGTGTCAGAATTGAACTGAATTGTAAGATACCCAGCTGGTATCAGAGAATGGGAGAATTGGGAAATGTTGTTGGGAAAACAACATGGAGCTTAACCTAGAAGCCTGGTTTGGGCTGTAACCGTCTGTCCCTCTCAGGGAGATAAGAGAAATTCTATTATCCTTTCAGATCAGAATAATTCATTGACAGATGGTTACAGATCTGATCCTCACGGTATGTGAAAAGAAAATATTTCCAGGAGAAGTGAAGCAAACATTCTCTATCTTTGTACCATGTGTGTCTCTGTAGCCCAGGAGGTGAGGGCTTTTTACGGAAGCATTGAGAAATCCAGGAAGATTTATTTCCCTGCACCTCAGAAGGTTGTGTGTGCTCTTAGACTAGCACCTCCTGCCTCCACCCGCTCTTCTCTCCATCCCATCTTGGCTTGGTTAATTTGGACCTGCACTTCAGATCTCAGACTACACATCACTTCTTCTGAAGGCTTTCTGCACCCCACTCCAAGCTTGCCAAGATGCTCCTCCTGTGTGCTCCCACAGTGCACTGGGCCAATAGCACAGTACTGTCACCTGGTATCAAATGCTGTTTTCCTCTCTAGTCTGTGTGGTCCTTGGGAATAGGACTTTTTCTCCCTGATATACCCTGTGCTAAGCACAGTGCTTTCATAAAATAAGAATTCAATAAATACTGTGTTAAATTATTTTCAGTCTCTGACTTCAAAGAATTTACAATCAAAATGAGAAAAAATACAAATTAGTACAATGCAAAGGAAAATTACTTAAACTCCATAAAAGAGACAGTAAAGTTTTATTCACGTGTAAGAAGAAAAAAATCTTATATAGTTGAAGGACTATGTCCACAACTTCAAGCACTATGGCTGCAGTGATGGGAAGAGCCACTCTCTCATGTAAGTTTCAGTGACAGAGAGTATGGTCAAATGAAATAGCAAATTCAGAAACTCAGCTTTCACCTTCAGCCCCCCCAAACCCAGCTCTAAGGCTCTTTCTCCTACCAAACACAGAAACTGGTCTGATGACAAGTCTACTGATTGCTCTAAGTAATGAACACATCAAGGAAGCTAGAAGAGGCCTAGCCCCAGATAAGGCACTCCCATCGATGGCGACAATTTCAAGACCAGACTTAGGAGTAGCACTCTCTCATCAACCTGCAGTCCCCTGCAGTTTGGGAAGGTCTGGTCACTCTAGAAGTTCCAGTTTTCTCTGTATGTCCCCTGAGTTCTTTTCATCAGAGGCAGTAACATACAGCATTGTTGTTGCCACACAAAGGGCACCATCTGCTCACCGCAGGACAAAAGTCAATGGTCAAGAGGCAAGACGGTGGCAGAGAAAGGGCATTTATTAAGTGATAAGCTAGCAAATCGGAAGATGGGGGGCTAGCATCCTAAAGAACCATCTTAAGGGGGGCACAGAACCTTGAAGCAGGTATATAGGCCAGTGGGTTATAGGAGAGGGGTTAGGAATGTTGACCCTCTGATTACAGCCTGGGAGTTGCCACAGCAGATCCTTCAGTTGTCACTGATGATGGCTATCAGCATAGATTCTGTCCTTGGGTCATCACATCCCTAAGGAACTCAAAAGGACAATGTTATCGACTTATCACAGCTGGGAGGTATTTATACAAGCAGGGGCTGTAAACTCTACAGAGCATGTATATCTCCTGGAGGGTACATATCCAGCTGGGTTAGTTAATCAGAGGTCATTCAAAGTTACAATATAGTTCCTTTTGCACAATATGGCTTCCCTTATGTCAACCTTGTGTTGAGCTGGATCATTCTCACTCCAAATCTCCTAAAAATGATGAAAAGGAAAGAAAAAGATGGGATCTTTCCCTCAAAGGTGGAATCTTTCCCTCAAATCTACACACTGAAAGGCTTCTAAGACGTAGAATTAAGAATTACATCACATAGATATTTTCCACTTAGGGGACAATCTAAGTGCTTGATATGCCTATCCATCTTCCAAAGACCAAGGCAATGTCTTTGTTGAGTTTGAGAATCCAGATGAAAAAGGTATTTAAACTGTTAAAAAATGAACAAGGCATAGTAAAACTTTTAAGAGTTTATTTGACCATTTATCAGATTGAATTGAGCAGCACCAAAATTGAAGTGGTTAGGAGCACTCCACTGACAGGAACTGGGAGAAAGACATATAGAGAAAGTGCAGAAGCAAAGAAAGGAAATTATTTGATTGGCTATGGCTTAAAGCCTAGTTGGCTGTTCATGATTCGTTGTTAGCATTTTGATTTCGTAACCTTGAAGCATTTATAGGCTTAGATTTTGGTTTGCCTGTTTATGTAGGCCACCATGGCATTACAGCCACATCAATCTAATGGCCTCCTTGTTTAATTAATTTAAGAAAACATGGATGAGGATGGGTGGATGGCCAGGAGGCCCCCTCCAGCAATGCTGGCCTTTGGCCTAAACATCTTACCTGTCCCCCAACCACACAAGACACCCTGTGAAGACCCAGACCTCCAAAAGCACCCTCACCCCAGGGCCACTGCAGCCTGAGCAGCTCTCCATTATCCTCCAATAAAACAGGGTTGCAAGCACTGCTGTTCCTCTGTAGCAGAGCCCATCCAGAAAAATATTGGAACTTTTATAACGGAGGAGGATAGGTAGGCGAAGTCCAGCCCAGACGGCTGGGTCAGCAAAAGCTGCCATTTTAGAACTTCCTCATCCCCAGAGGCTGGCCTGCAAGTACTAACTGAAGCCCTCTATCCGTCTACATAGACGTCAGTCTGTTTATCTCGGCTGCAGAAGAGTGGCAATCTCTGGCTCACTGCTTATTAATGCCCTCCAGTTATCCATCCTTGAGAGCGAGCTCATTTGTTTCCAACTTTTTTTGAAAAACTTGCAAAGCCAGTTGGAACAAGTAAGCTTCTGGATGCCACATTCCTGGAGCATGGCTTTTCTTTTGAGTCCGGGGACCTGACTGCAAACATTTTTGCCTTTTAGTCTGTCTGGTACTTTAAAGAAGAAGGAAGAGAGTTCATGCAGGCTAAGTTCCTGTTAGGACTGGAATTGCTAGACTTTTAAGTCCTCTTCTGACTCCAATATATATACTGAAGAGATATATACATATACATATGTATAAAATATATAACATATATATAGAATATATTGAGTATTTATACATTGATATAATATTGTGGTACAAGAAATATATTTGGTCTTTGACTCCAGTTCCTGGCACGAAGTTCCCAAAACCCTTGGAATTTCCTGAGTGATAGGAGTGTCTTTTGTCATTCATAAGGAGTCCCTTTTGAGCTCATCAGAGTTCATGTTGATGAGGGGACTTTTGGAAAGCTCTGAAGGATGGGGGGTGGTTGCCAGAGGTATCAACTATGTGATTAGAGGGTTGAAACTTTCAGCCGGGCTCCCCCCCTCCCCCAGGGAGTTGAGAGGGGCTAGAGGTTGAATCAATCACCAACGGCCAGGGATTTAATCAATCACACCTACGTAATGAAGCCTCCATGAAAATCCAGAAGGACAGGGTTCAGAGGCTTTAGGGTTGGTGAACAGGTGGAGGTGCGGGGAGAGTGGTGCATGCCCAGGGAGGGCATGGAAGCTGCATGCCCCTTCCCACATACCTTGCCCTATTTATTTCTTCTATTGGGCTGTTCCTCAGTTATGTCCTTTTATAATAAACCAGTACTCCAGTAAATAAAATGTTTTCCTGAATTCTGTTAGCTGTTCTAGCAAATTAACGGAGGAAGGCCCCTTGGGAACCTCCCATCTATAGTGCATCTCTAGCTGGCACATCAGAACCACACTAACAACTGGACTTTGCGGTTGGTTTTTGAAGTTGGGGAGGGGCAGTCTTGTGGAACTGAGCCCCTAACCTGTGGGATCTGATGCTATCTCCAGATAAATGCTGCCAGAATGGAGTTAGGTATAGGACACCTAGATGGTGTCCCAGAATTGTTTGATGTGTGGAAAACTCTCATCTCTGGTGTCAGAAGTGAAGTAGTGCTGTAGCAGAGTATCGAGAGTAAACACATACAAGAGCAAGTGTGCTTTCTTCTTTACAAATACGTAGTAAAATTTCCCGTGCCTTGATCCTGCTGTCTGCAATTGGTGAACAAGTTACCAGCTAGTTTTGTAGAATCATCAAGGACCACTCCCTCACCACCACCATTGGAGACTCAAGATATCACAGAATCACTGTTTTAAGTGTTTTTTAAAGACTAACCCAATTCCCCAGAACACTACAAACCAGATGAGTGACTCGCCACGGTCACTCATTAAGTGGTTAAGGGACTAATACATGTAAAGTGCCGGGCACACAGCGCAGTCCAGGACTTGGCTATGGTTAAGCGCGCCCATCTGTCCTAGCTGCAGGCTCTCAGCATCCCACACGCCCGCCGCCTCTCGATTATTCAACTCCTTTAACGGCCTGTCAAATTTTAAGTTTTCACTTGTGTAAGGAACGCCCCTTAACTCTGAGTACAGTTTTAATTTACATTCCTGGGTTCGACTCCTTGGTGCTTTTTAGCTTTAAAAAGGAAACACCTGCCTGCAAAACAATATTTTGGGCTTAGGCTTTTCACTCTTTTTTGTACAACTGTTCTGCACTCAACTTTTTCGTTTATTGAGAAAGCTGATAATAGGAATTCATTTTACGCGAACTATCGCGAGGACGCCGTTGCACTGTAAAGCGACCACAATACTCCCCGGGTCACGATACTGAAAGCCTCCGGCCACGCCGCCGCCGGACCTGGTGGGCGGGATCAGACGTCCCGCTGACGTCACTGCACACGCCTGCGGCACCTGACGCTCGGGGATGACGTCAGGCCCGCGCTAGGGCATGCCCTCCGAAGCGCCATGCTGGGCGCGGGCGGCGCGGGGCTGGCGAGGGGCCTGAGGGCCGTGAGGCAAGCGTGGCTGCGGGGCTCGCGCGGGCGGTCAGTGGTTCTGGCGCGCGCAGCGGGGCCTCCCGGCACTGGGGACTCGCGGCGCTGGGCCGGGCTGGGGCCGGGCGGGCGTGGGCTCAGCCTGTCGGCCGCGGCGGTCGTGGAGGCGGCGCCCCGCCCTGTGCAGCCCTACCTGAGGCTCATGCGGCTGGACAAGCCAATCGGTGAGTGCGGGCGGGCGGGATGGAAGGGAAAGTCCGACAATCAGGGCTCGGCTGCGACGCGCGGGGACCCTCGAGACACCAGACCGGGCATCTCCGGGGTCACCCTCTGTATTTCACACCCCTCTAAATCCTAAGCGCCCGAGGCCGGCCCAGATTCGCTCATTCCACAGTCATGGTTTAGATAGTGCGTCGAGCGGAAATTCCGTGCTCGTGTCTCTGCACTTGCAGAGATTTACGGTATTGAAGCACTTCCATATTCATTATGTTTGATCCTTCCCATAATTCTGTAACGCTCCCAAAGCAAAGAATTAAGACCGTAAAGACGCCGAGGGTCTTCCGCAGAGCCAGACCAGATGAACCTAGTGTGTTTTTTAAAGTTTTTTTTCCCCCCCTTTTTCTCCCCAAAGCGCCCCGGTACATAGTTGAATATTTTTAGTTGTGCGTCCTTCTACTTGCGGCATGTGGGATGCTGCCTCAGCATGGCTTGATCAGCGGTGCCATGTCCACGCCCAGGATCCAAACCGGTGAAACCTTGGGCCGCCAAAGCAGAGCGAGCAACTTAAGGACTTGGGCACCGGCGGGACCCCGCAACCTAGTGTTTTGATGCTGAGTTCCAGTTCTTTGCCCTGCACAACTCGTGCCACGAAGATTTAATTCGATTGAATGCACGGTACAGCGCTGATGGACTGCCTGTCAGCTCACCATCGTCTCCTAAGGGAGGATTTCCCTGACCTTCCGCATTTAAGAGAATACCTATTGCCTCACTCGCTCTTTATCTTCCATTTTTCTCCATTGTGCTCACCCCTAATGATCTGATGCATTTTTTGGTCAATAAATTCCAATATGAGCTCCACATATATGGGGACTTTTCTATCTAGTGCCTAAAACAGAGCCTCGCAGTAGTGTTATGAACTTGTAAATTCCTACAACATCGCCTGGCCTTAGGGAGAGAAAGAACTCTGCAAACTCCCTGTTTTGGAGGAACTCCCGGTCTGCTTGAAAAAGAGACTGTTGGGTAAGCTAGGACAGTATGGGATCAAATGTAAGTGCTATAGGTGGCGAGTGCTGCAGGAAAAAGAGTAATTACTGTGGATCCCCATTGCTAGAAAAAGGTTCAAGAACAAATTGAACCTCAAACAACAGGTGGATTTTGCAGAGGAAGGAAGAGAACTTGATTGGTGGGGGAGATATTTTTGCAAAGACCCAAGGGTGGAGTGTTGGGACATTAAGGATCTAAGGTGATGTGGAACTCCAGGTCGGTGTAGAAAACAGTGAGTCGAGGCTGGATAAGAGCTGGACTGAAGAGTGGACAGTGGGGAGGGAGGAGTAGAGACTGAACTCCAGTTAACCTGGATGATGGCGTTTGCCATTGCAGCGCATGGAGGTGCATTCAAATACCAGGATATGTTCCCTCACCTTTGCCCAGCGAAGGCCCCAAATGAGACCTTGTTTTTGGTGTTCTGGGTTTAGACACTACCTATTTGGGATCAGAGCACTGAGAGATATAACAATCAGCAGTTAAAGTTTAAAAGCAAGTTAAATGATAGGCACAGACCTGCCACCATGACCCCTTGCATTTTGGGGCCAGATACAAGTTGATAGGCATAAATGTCTCAGCCCAGTTCTAATCTGAAAGCTAATTATAATTCTGTTCTTGGGATCTGTGTCATGGTGCTGCAGTGTAGGCTTACAGGCATCTAAGATGGATCAGTAGCTGCTATTATTCCCGTTTCTGTAAATCTCTGGCTTCCCCCTTAGTGGCTAGACCACCCCACCACACGGTGAGAGGCTACTGAGGGGTTACGAGTAAAGCTCTGCAGCCGGAGTCTCCGCTCTGCCCATTTGAGGGACCTTGGTTAAGTTACTAGACCTCTCTGGGCCTTTGTTTCTCATCTATAAAATGAAGATCCTAATAATACTGACTTTATATTGTTGTCATGAGAATTCATTAATATATGTCAAGTCCTTAGAACAGTGCCTGATGTAATAAGTGCTCAAGAATGTTAGCTGTTATTACTTGAGAAGTGGGAATTGGAGAAGATCAGGTTAGTAATTATGTATGTTGGGGCCAGCCCCGTGGCTGAGTGGTTAAATTCGTGCACTCCGCTGCAGCGGCCCAGGGTTTTGCTGGTTCGGATCCTGGGCGCCGACGTGGCACTGCTCATCAAGCTGTGCTGAGGTGGCGTCCAACATGCCACAGCTAGAGGGACCCACAGGTAAGAATATACAACTATGTATCGGGGGGCTTTGGGGAGAAAAAGGAAAAATAAAATCTTAAAAAAGTAATAATAATAATTATGTATGTTAAGATACCAGCCTGCATGCTTTGGTTCTAAATAAGGTGATGATTGCAGGATTTTTCAGACAATTTATTAATAATACTGTGTTACTATTCATTCAGCATTATTTTGAGCCCCTACTGTATGTCAGGAACAATATATTGACAGTAGTAGAATTCCAGGTTTGATATTTCTTTTTTTTTTTTTTTGAGGAAGGTTAGCCCTGAGCTAACTACTGCCAATCCCCCTCTTTTTTGCTGAGGAGTCCTTGCCCTGGGCTAACATCCATGCTCATCTTCCTCTACTTTATATGTGGGATGCCTACTACAGCATGGCGTGCCAAGTGGTGCCGTGTCCACACCCTGGATCCGAACCGGCATACCCCAGGCTGCCAGGAAGTGGAACATGCGAACTTAACCGCTATGCCACGGGGCCAGCCCCTCTTTTTTTTTTTTATTTTAAAGATTTTATTTTTCCTTTTTCTCTCAAAGGCCCCCGGTACATAGTTGTGTATTTTTAGTTGTGGGTCCTTCCAGTTGTGTCATGTGGGATGCTGCCTCAGCATGGCTTGATGAGCAATGCTGTGTCTGCACCCAGGATTCAAACTGGCGAAACCCTGGGCTGCTGAAGCAGAGCGCACAAACTTAACCACTCTGCCACGGGGCAGGCCCCTAATATTTCTTTTCTTTTTTTAAAAAAATTATTTTATTTTTTTTTTGAGGAAGATTAGCCTTGAGCTAATATCTGCTGCCAACCCTCCTCTTTTTCTGAGGAAGATTGGCCCTGAGTTAACACGTGTGCCCATTTTCCTCTACTTTGTATGTGGGACGCCTGTCACAGCATGGCTTGATGAGTGGTGCTAGGTCCACGCCTGGGATCTGAACTGGCAAACCCCAGGCCACTGAAGCAAAGCATGTGAACTTAACGGCTGTGCCACTGGGCTGGCCCTGATATTTTTTGATTTATATTCTTTTGTGGGGTAATTTTATGTTCATAGTTTTATTTTGTTGAAAGTTGATCAGTTATTTTCATAACCAAAGTGGGTTTCATTGTTTTTCAGAATGGATTACTTCTTTCAACCAGGTCACAAACTACTACATTATTTTAGGAAGTTTCAGCAGGTGGCAGTCTTTCCACTAAATTGGTGGTGTAATTTTTGTTTTATTGCATCTGTGGGTGATTATGTTGTCTTAAAAATAACGTATAATTAGCCAGTGAATCTTAGACTCACTTTCCGCAGGTTTGTTGGTCTGTCCATCACCTCTCAGAACTTGCTTATTTTGTTTCATCTCCCAGAAAGTTTTTCCTTGTTCTACAGTAAATGTTTCTTTCCGAAACCTATTTGTATCCTCGCCACCTCTGCCTCTTTCTTCACAGAAGAGAACTTAGTGAAAGTGTCATAGGGAAGAAAGAAAAAAATGTTACTGAGAATCAGGAGGGCCAAAGCACCAGAAGAACTTAAGCCCCCGTAGAGATTTCGATATGCAGAGTGATAGCACTGGCCTTAGGACACGGTGGACTGGAGCCAGAGCACCTGGGTTTGAGTTGCAGCTCTGCCACTTTTTGCCTGTGTGGCCTCAGGCAAATTACTTCTCTCTGCGTCAGTTTCTGTACTTGTTAATACAAGGTATAATATACCTTTTATTATACACGGTATAATAAAATTAGTGCCTGTCTCCTAGGTTTCTTGTGAGAGTTGTGTTATGTACCAGCACCTAGTGCATAGGAAGCACTGTGTATTTGTTGTTATTGTTTTCATCATCACCCTCATCTTTAATCCTAACAACTCTGAGAGGTAGATAGCTTTCCCCTCATTGATAGATGAGGAAGATTGAGCCCTTGAGGAAGTTTAATATGCTTTAGTGTCTGGCATCATTCCACTTACTAGTGGCAGACCTGGAACTGGAAGTCTGACTTTCCCCTTCGCTGCGGGAACCCTCTCCATCTCTAGAGGCGCCCCTCAGACTCCTACCTGTGAGTGTGGTACCTGTATACAGGCTTGAAGGAAGTTTTGCTCCTGACACACAGTGGTATAGGTAGTTACACGTTTTTCTCTCTAGAATTCTCTTTTAATGGAACCTTCAGTTCTGATGGCACCAGACAGTGACGCCTGTGAAGTGGTGTTTTCTTTTCTTTTAGGGCAGGATTGTGCTCCTCTGTCCCCCTGAGCTGTAGTTGTAGGTCCAGGGAAAATGAAGTAGTTAAACCCATCCTGTTTTACTTAGCCTCTCCATGCATCTGTTTCCTCATGTGTAAAATAGGAATAATACTAGTGTGTGTTGAGGATTAAGTGAGTTTATACGTGTAAAGCATTCGGAACACTGCCTGACGTTTCACGAGCGTTCAGTGAGTGTTAGCTGTTGTTGTTACTGTTTTGGATGGGATGCAGTGAATCTGGGTCTCTGGGACAGCCTGCATTCAGGTCTGGACTGCCCCCTTCTCGTTTTCAGCCTCTCCTTGCCTTTTCTGCTGTGTGGGTTACACTCCATTTGGGAAAGCCTCCCTGAACCCTCCCCACTCCCTTTCCGGTTAGCTGGGTGACACTGCATTATGCCTTTATAGGACCTGGTACTTGCCCTCTTGCCAAATTGATGTATTTTATTGTTATTGTTTGTTTAACTGTGTTTCTTCCTGTTCATTTTTAAGCTGTATAGGCAGAAACCAGCCTCTCCTAGTCACCATTGTGTTCCCAGTTCCTAGCACAGCCCTGGCACAAAGTACGTGCTTTATAAATATTTGTAAATGAATAAGGTTTAAGCTTAATGAACCTTAAACATGATTATAAGGACTTTGTCATTTGACCATTTTTGTACTGGATCTGATCTTTCTTTAGCCACATGTCCTTTTTCTCTTATTTTGCTAAAGAAAGCTCCGAATTTATCTAATAGACTCTATATCCAAACATTTCTGGAAAGACTTTCTTTTGAAAGTGGAATATCTACTAAAGTTCGCGTGTGAAGTCTCCTGTTTGTCCAGTCTATTTGGTTTTAGCTTCATTTCATCTAGTTTATGAGCTAAGTATCAAGAACTAGCCCCGTTTGTGCATGTAGCTGCAAAATATTAATATAGGTCAGTATCCTCCCTCCCTCAAGCCCATTAACAACAGTAAAGGAAGTTGTATTAGCTTTTTTTGAGTAGGCAGTACATGCACTTGATAAAAAATTCGGAAGGTACAAGGCTGTAGAGTGAAAACAGAGTCTGCCACCGCTGTCTCCCAGCCACCTCCTTCCCCTTCCCAGAGGCAGCTATTAGCAGTGTATCCAGTGTATCCCTCCTGACGTGGTCTGTGAACGTCCCAACATTCAGATGTCAGTGTTTTTTTATATATGTGTAAATGTGCATATATACACACACGTGTATATATATGGTCAGAATTTTCAGCTTGTCCTCCATCCAGGTTGGACCGTTCTGTAACCTCATCAGAAGCACACGAGTTCTGACTCCCCGGGGTGTGTTGTCAGACTTTGCGTTTTGCCAATCTCATAGGTGAAAAATGTTATCTCAATGTAATTTTAAGTGTATTTCTCAAAGTTGAGTATCTTTTCATGTGTGTAAGAGCCATTTGTAGTTCTTTTTCTGTGACCTCCTATTATGTTTTTGTCCATTTTTCAATTGGACTATTGATCTCTTCAGTTTCTAGGAACCCTACATGTTAGGGAGACTAGTCCTTTGTAATATGAGTTGAAATTTATTTTTCTGGTTTTGTCATGTGTTTTTGACTTTGTGTTACTTCTTTGGGATGTGGTGTTAAAAAACAAATGAAGACGGTTAACTAGCTTGAATTTGTCCCTTTTTTGTCTTTTTTTTTTTTTTGCTTAGGAACCTGGCTGCTGTATCTGCCATGTACCTGGAGCATTGGTTTGGCCGCTGAACCAGGTTGTTTTCCAGATTGGTACATGTTATCCCTCTTTGGCACTGGGGCTGTTCTGATGCGTGGAGCCGGCTGCACCATTAATGACATGTGGGACCGGGACTACGATAAAAAGGTAGTTTGATCCTGGAAAGGAACAGAGGGGCTTCTCTCAATTCTGCAGAGTAATGTGGTGGCATCATTTCTGAAGGCCACATAAAGCAGCGTGGTCATTTAGCGTCCTCACTGAAATCCAGCGTCAGAGGTGCGGGATCAGGTGCATAGCTGGTGTTGCAGAGTGCCGTGTCCTTCGTTTCGCAACCAAGAGCGGCCATGGGGACAAGGTGTGTCCTTCATTTGTACAAAATAAATTTGAATTGAAAAGGCTGGGGCTGAGGATGTTAGGAGTGAAGGTGAAAAATCCATCCTAAACTTTAGGTGTCCAAAAGACCTGTCATCCATTCCTTTGAGATATATATTGGAGCCCTAACTATTGTTATGTAAATCAAATCTTAATTTAAATGAACCAACGCAGCCCCATTAACATTTGCTATAGTTATTTCTTTAGAAACATAATTTTATTTTTCTCTCCTTAGAAAAAAGATACATGTTTATTCTGAAAAATTCAGGCAGTACAGAAATAGAAAGTTCAGGGTCCGGCCCGGTGGCACAGTGGTTAAGTTCACATGTTCCGCTTCTTGGCGGCCTGGGGTTCGCTGGTTCGGATCCTGGGTGCAGACATGGCGCCGCTTGGCATGCCATGCTGTGGTAGGCATCCTATGTATAAAGGAGTCTTCCTCAGCAAAAAGAGGAGGATTGGCAGTAGTTAGCTCAGGGCTAATCTTCCTCAAAAAAAAAAAAAAAAGAACAAGTTCTCCTTATGCCCTCCCCAAACCCCAGAGAGAACTTCAGTTTACAGTTTACATCATATTCCTCTGGATTATTTTCTATGCATATTCTAATGCAGTGTATAATTTTTTTATTTTTATTTTTTTTGTGAGCAAGATTATCACTGAGCTAACATCTGTACCAATCTTCCTCTATTTTGTATGTGGGATGCCACCACAGCATGGCTTGGTAAGTGATGTGTAGGTCCATGCCCAGGATTTGAACTGGCAAACCCCAGGCCACCAAAGTGGAGCACGTAAACTTAGCCACTGCGCCACCAGTAAGCCCTCTATAATTATTTTTTTGTACCTCAACAAACATTAGGATACGTTAATGGCTCAGGGTTTTGCTTAATATGTTAGATGGTAAGTAAATTGCTAATACATTAAATGATGTCAGTTGCTCTTAGGATATATTGATTAAGTGTGTTTAGTTGATGTGTATAATCTATCAGCCATGTGATAAACATTAGGTCCATAAACATTGAAATAATCTCAATGCACAGCTATTAACAATTTGGTTTTGTAAGCTGTGAGTGTTCTGATTTCATAAAAACCACATAGAATATGTTTCGATCACTATGTGACATCATTTTTAGTCTTTTGATGGAGTGCTTGTTTATTGTCAGCTTTCAAATTTAGCTAGTTTCATATCACTGTGCTGAAGAGGCAGTGTGACCTTGTGGTTAGAGTGTGGTCAGTGGGACTAGACTGACTGTACTACCTAGTGGCTGTGACTTTGCAAAGTTACTTAGCGTCTCTGCCTCAGTTTCCTAAAACTTAGAAATGGCAGGAATTTCTGAGGGTTGTTAGAAGGATTCAGTGATGTGATGCCTGTATAGCTCTTAGAATGGTGGCACTTTGGAAACATGCAAATACCAGCTGGAATAATCGCAATATCCTGAAACAAATATAGGAACATAAGTATTTTTTCCAGTTGAAACTATAGGGACCAAATCAGGGATAAAAGGTCCAGTTCCAGCACTCTAACTAAGATGAGTCATTATAGTTTTTGGCAGACCTTTTTATTGCATGGTGAAGCATGCTATGAATTGGGTCAGCAAATTTTTTTTTGTAAAGGACTAGATAGTTAATATTTTAGGGTTTGTGGGCCATACCATCTTTGTTGCAACTACTCAACTCTGTTGGAGTGTGAAAGCAGTCTTAAGCAATAGGTAGACAAATGGATATGGCTCTGTTTCAATAAAACTTTGTTTATGGACACTGAAATTTAAATTTCCTGTTATTTTCATGTGTCACAATACGTTACTCTTTTTTAAACTTATTTTCAACCATCTAAGAAGTACAAACCATTCTTAGCTCATGGGCTGTACCAGATCAGGCAGGAGGCTGGATTTGGCCCACAGACCATAGCTTGCTAACCCTTGGTATAAAGTGTAGAAAAATATGTTATATTAAAAATAGATAGCATTTATTGTATGCTTATCTGCTTCAGACACTGCATTCGCTGTATAAAGTAGGTGCTATTATTACCTCTTCCTCTCTCTCTTTTTCCTTTAACAAGTAAGTACCCTAAGTCCGAGAGAGGTTATGTAATTTGCCAAAATTCACACAGCCAGTAAGTAATGGAATTGGATTCAAATCCTGGGTTCTTTGGTCCCAGATCCTGAGTTCTTCTAGCAATGTTGAACATTTTGGTTATGTTCTTTATTTGTGGTTAAGTTTAGAATAATCACGTTTCATGATCTCTTGGAAGGAAAAGAAAAATTAATATATGTTATTTGTCCACATGAACAATTTGTCTATTTATATTCTTACAGTGAGTTTGCCCTTTATATTTGGGTAGAGTTCATGTAAGATTACAAACCCATTCCTAAATAGCTGGTGAAAGCACTCCCACTTGCACACCCGTATAATCTGTCTTTGTTCACATCTGATTTCTGAGTGTAGTGCTTCCCACACTCAAAATATCCATGTGATATCACCCTTATCCAACATCCACTGCAATTTCCTCTTTCCTGGGGATCCTCATTATTGTCCCTCTTTTCTCTATAGAAATTGAACATACACTTGCTACACTAGGTAGCTAAATCGCTAGATAAGGAAGTTGCTTTATTTTGTTTATTTGGAGATGAGGATGGGAGATGGACATAAAGCAGAATGAGTAGTGAGAATTTGTAATCTTTTCAAAGCTATTTTAAATACGGAGTTTTGATTCTTGGCAGTACTTCCAATGTTGATGTCACCTTTTATTCATATATCTGCCGTAGTGCCTACCATGGGCCAGACTCTTGATTAAAAGTTTAAATGAATGATGGAGCCATCTCATGAAGCTAAGGGATCTGTTTTTATGTGTTAAGGTTACAAGAACAGCCAATCGCCCTATCGCTGCTGGAGACATTTCAACTTTTCGATCGTTTGTTTTTCTCGGAGGTCAGCTGACCTTGGCGCTGGGCGTTCTTCTGTGTCTGAATTACTACAGGTATAGTAAATGTGTTTTTCATAATTGTGTGTAAAATGTCTCCTTCGGAAGGGAGGTAGTAGGAATAAAATAAAATTGAAATATCTTTATCCCAAAGTTGTTTATTGGCTACCTATGGAGCATCTAAGGTGGCAAGTATGAACGAGCCACCACACGTTGTAAGATCAAGATGGCTTTCCGCCAAAGGAATGGAGAGATCAGCTTTTAGTTTATTCTGAACCACCTTCAGTATCTGCAGTACATGTTCCCGAAGGGACGCAGGCACTTCCATGGGTTTTCTAGATGCATGCATGGGTGTGTGATGTATACACCCATCTGTATAACTTTATTTATCCTGACAGTATGGCTGGAGTAGATGGAAGCAGAAGTGATTATACTCATTTTGCATAAATAGGAACCAGGTTTCTCCCAGAGTCATATTCCTAATTAATGACAGAAGAAAAAAGTGGAAGAACGCATTCCTGAATCTCTTAAACAGTGACAAAATTAAACTTCTGTGCTTCAGATGGCTGCTTACAAAGTGCTTCAATAAGATAAAAAAGAGGAGGAGGTCAGCAAATAAGCGTGACTTTATAGCAGTTAGGCTTAATTGTATATCTTGCCCTGCAAGCGTCAGTCCCGTGAACACACTTGGGGAGGTGGTTCCCGGAGGGGCGGTGTTAGGTGAGTTTTGAGGTACCCAAGCACGTCTTATGTTATCCTCCTTGTGTAGGCGCTTGGGGACCTTATCCTCTTCTAGAGAAATAACACCCCTTTGTGCGTGTAGGGAGGGAATCTTGACTCTAATTTTCTGTTAGGAAGTCTCATTGCTAGCTGTCTTGATGTTGGTTTTTTTTGTTTGTTTGTTTGTTTGAGGAAGATTAGCCCTGAGCTAACTATTGCCAATCCTCCTCTTTTTCCTGAGGAAGCCTGGCCCTGAGCTAACATCCATGCCCATCTTCCTCCACTTTATATGTGGGACCCTTACTACAGTATGGCATGCCAAGCAGTGGCATATCTGCACCCGGGATCCGCACTGGTGAACCCTGGGCCGCCAAGAAGCGGAACGTGCCAACTTAACCGCTCTGCCACCGGGCTGACCCCTGTCTTGATATTTGAAAAGAAAATTAGGAGAGGCAGTAGTGTGTGGCGGCTGACAGGTTGGACACTCGAGCCAGGCTGCCTTAGGTTTGAATCCCGGCCCTGCGCCTGACTAGCTGCGTGGCAGTTGGCAGATTACTTCATCTCTTTGTGCTTTAATTTCGTCATCTGCAAAACACAAGTAGAATAAAACTACCTGCCTCTGAGGGCTGTGGTGAAGATGATAATGAGTTAACTTATGTAAGGTAGTTGGAACGGTGCCTGATACACGAAAGCCTACGTATGTGAGCTGTTGTTATTTGGCTTGGTGGTTTTGTAACACTTTAGATATTTTCTAATTATCTTTTATCCTAATCAATGTCCAGGAAGAGAATTTTACATAACAAAAACTGTAATTTAAGATAAATCATTTTCTAATTAGTATTGCTACTGTTGTCTCATTTAGCGATTTCTAAGAGATGGTGATGTTAATCTTTCTAATGGTTTTTCTTGGTTTCAGTGTAGCTCTGGGAGCAGCATCCCTACTGCTCGTCATCACCTACCCGCTGATGAAAAGAGTTACATACTGGCCTCAGTTAGCCTTGGGTGAGCTTGAAATAACTGTAAGAATTTCCTTCAATATCCTCAAACTGTACTTTTATATATAATATCATACATATGTATATAATGTGGCAGAGAAAGTGTCAAGTCAGTTATGACATTTTCTTATTATAAAGGAGGGCAGTTAGCCATTTTTATTGTCTAAGAAATCTCGCTTATTTATTTATTTGAGGAAGATTAGCCCTGAGCTAACATCTGCCACCAATCCTCCTCTTTTTGCTGAGGAAGACTGGCCCTGAGCTAACATCTGTGCCCATCTTCCTCCACTTTATATGTGGGATACCCACCACAGCATGGCGTGCCAAGCGGTACCATGTCCGCACCTGGGATCCGAACTGGCAAACCTGGGGCCACCGAAGCAGAACGTGCGCACTTAACCACTGCGCCACTGGGCCGGCCCCTCACATATTTATTAAGATTATCGTCATTATTTTCTGAAATGTTCTTTTAAAAATCTAGGTATATCACAAAGAAAAAAGTTAGCTGCCCTGACCCTGCCTTCACCTGGATGCCCTGAAGCCCTGCGAGATGGCAGTAGAAAGCATTCGCCACAGGAGAACAGGGGTTAGAGAATACAGTCACTCAGACAGAGCCCTTTCTGTGGAGCCTTCCTTGGGCCTCCCGGGAAAAAATTAGTCCATCTCTCCTCTGGGCTCCCGTCGCTCTCTGCCGTGGGATGGGATGTGGCGCTTACTCATGTCAAGAGCATTAATTCAACAAGATGTGGAGGGCCTCTCTGTCGCCATTAATAAACCGTCTGCCTACAAAGCACAGCATCCTTCACATATGGGTGGCCCGGCATCTAACATAGCACTTGGTACGTTGCTATGTACCAATAAATAATTTGTGAATAGAGAGGAAGATAGACAGCTGGGTAAGTCAAAATCTATTGGAAAAATGTCCACTCCTAGTTGTTTCTGTTCTACTCCTAGAATAATCCTAGAACTATTCTAGTTCTTTGAACTATTTTTTCAGTAAATAAAAGAAGAACCAAAAGAGACTCCAAGAAATTGATGCGAGCCTGACTTGTGGGACAGTTGTGGTGGAATGTTTATCTTTTTCCAAAGTCCTCTCGTTCAATGTTTTGTTTCTTTTCATTATTAAAAAAATAGAACATTATAGTCTCAACTGATCTGGGAATCTTTTGGTAAAAGGAAGATAAGCATTTCCTATCTGTAAGATAATATTAAGAAAGCTGGTATATTTACTTCAAATATTTATTGAACCCCTGACTTTTACTTTGTGCCGGGAATCCCACCAGGTACGAGGAAAATGAAAATGGCTAAAACACTTGCACCACCTTGAAGGAGCTAGAGGAGACAGCAGGAGAGCAGGTCATTGCAGTGCACTGTATTGCCACGCGTGGGTGCTGTGGGACCACAACGGAAGGCACTTCCTCAGTTGAGGAGTGGAAGTAGGCAATGTAGGAGGAGAAAAGGGGTTTCTAAGAAAGGGCGTTGGGGACCCATTGAGTTTGAGGGAGCTGAGGGGCCTGCAGGTGGAGTGTCCAGCAGGCAGGTCAGCATCTGGTCTGAAGCTTAGAGAGTGATGAGGCTTGTGCATAGAGATTTAGGGTTGTCAGCATGCAGATGTCTGTTCACAGTTCTTAGAGAGGATGGGCTTATAGGATAAATAGTGTTCCCGTCTGTACTGCTGTTTCTGTGGCTTGTCAGGAGGTCAGGTGGTGATGGGTTTGACTCAGATAGGTCGAGGTGCAGACCCCAGCAGCTACTGGGTGTTGGCTCTGCCGGGCACCGCACTAGGTAGGATCCGTGTTCTGAAACCTGTTTATCCGGGGAATATTATTCTTTCTATTAGCTGTGTTATTTTATTGTTAATTGACTTCTCTGAGCCTGTTTTCCTTTTTTGTAAAATGTAGCTAATAACTACCACCGAGAGTTGGGAGAATGTAAGGAAGAAGCATTGTAGAAAATAGTGCACACAGAGCCCAGTGGTCCATAGCAAGCACCTGCCCCACGCTGATGCCCTCTCCTGCCTGCGGGCGTTCTGGACTTTGTTTAGACTCTCCCTCTCCTTCTGTTCACTGATTGCAGGGTTGGCTTTTAACTGGGGAGCGTTACTCGGATGGTCTGCTGTCAAGGGCTCCTGTGATCCGTCTGTTTGCCTGCCTCTTTATTTTTCTGGAATTATGTGGACTCTAATATATGATACTATCTATGCCCATCAGGTAAAGAAATGATAATCTTTTTTTCTTAACTTTGGTTTAGTAGTTGTTGTTGCTTAAGAACTTTAAGAACCAAATTGAAATGAAAGTGTTGTTTTCTAAAAAGAAAAACACTTCTGTGGCGCCAACAGGATATTTTTCTTTCTTGTGTATGTGTATTTACCAAAGAGATCAACTCATTTATTTAATTTTCAAGCATTTAAATAGTATTTACTATACGCCAGACACTATTTTAAATACCTTGCAACTAATTGAATCCTCCTAACTATCTGTAAGGAAGGTACTTTGATTATCCTCACTTTACAGGTGAAGTGGTGTGTGGAGAGTAACTTGTCCCTGTCACACGGTTAGTGGTGACAGAGCTGGGACTCAAACCCAGACGGTCTTCAGAGTCTGTGCTCTTAACTGCGACCCTCTGCTACCCCTCTGTGGAGGCCTCTAAATCACTGTACCAGGCAGCTTTTTTACCTATTTTTTGTCATTGTCTCTTTAACACTGCAGAATAGTCCATTGACTTACTATGCCATAATTTTTTTTAAAGTGAACAGCTTGTCTATTTTGGTCATTTAAGTTCTGAGTTTTTGCGATTATAAATAATATGTTTTAATCACTAATGTCTTTATGAATATGAGTTTTTTGGGTAAATTTTTAGGAGTGGTATTACTTAGTTAAAGGATATAAATGTGTTTATAGCTTTTGATGTTGCCTTTTTCATAAGTTTAATAAAAATCTTTTTTTGCTTTTCTGGGTTTATGTTCTTAATTTTCCTTTTACATTTAGAACTTTAAAAAAAGATTTTTCTCAGTATTTTACTGAAATATGACTATGTATTCTCAACCATTTACTTAAAGAATATGTCCTGATTTAGTGAACTTTTTTTTTTTTTTTTTTTTGGTGAGGAAGATTGGCCCTGAGTTAATGTCTGTTGCCAATCTTCCTCTTTTGCTTGGGGAAGATTGTCCTTGAGCTAACATCTGTGCCAGTCCTCCTCTATTTTGTATGTGGGATGCCGCCATAGCATGGCTTGATAAGTGGTGTGTCTCTCCATGCCCGGGGTCCGAACCTGCAAACCCCAGGCTGCCAAAGCAGAGTGCGTGAACTTAGCCATATACCAGCGGGCCAGCCCCTGATTTAGTGAAATTTTTTCCTAATATTTCTTTCTGGATTTCCTTCTGCTTTCTTTCGTTAACCTTTTTCCCCTACTCCATTTGTATTATGAAAATGTTTGCCGGATCTGATTTCCTGAAGTGAAACTTGACTGACAGTTTAGAAGAGATGCCTATACTTTTTACAGCAATGGCTGGAACCAGTGGTCAGGATAACTGTACTCCAGTTAGATTAACTTCTTCAGTAAAACACCACTGACACTTCAGTAAAGTACTGACTGACACTTTCGTGGTAACATAGTTAAAGACACTGTTTGCACCCTGAAGGTGGTGCAGTGTGAAAGGAAAAACAGGCACTAACCCCACACTCCGTATTATGTGGATTTGGGACCCTAAACGATAGCTTCTCAGAAGCTTTCTGCCTGCAAGTGGATGCAGAGTTCAGCGTGCAGCCTCTGATATCACACAACCATCATTACAACAGTGTGTGGAAATGCTTACAGATACAGTTGCTGGAGGAGAGCAGTCAGCTAGATGTGAGTGTCTCATCCAGACCCAGCTCTACTTAAACAGAAGGGATCGGATGGGAGAGGCAAGGAATAAATTGAGCTAAAAGTGAAATGTGAGTGGATATGGTTAGGTGGCAAGTGAGCATTTTTCTGCATCTGTTATTTTAGCAAGATTGAAACTAAAATGTGCAGGAAATTGTTGAGTTTGAGAACTCCGAGGTAAGGAGGAGCTATGTAAAGAATTAGATTGAGTTTTACTTCTAATGTAGTAAAAGCAAAGTTGAAAGTCATTACAGGGTTATAAGAAATAGCATGACGTGTATAAATAGAGCTGGGAGAGCATTTTAGCAGTAGCATTCAACTTTGATTTGGTCTGCGCATTGACTATGGATCAACCTGTGTTTCTGAGTTACTGTCATCTTTCACAGCTTATCACACAGATATGCTGTAGCTGCATGTTCTTGAAAAGACAGTTTCTTCTGGAATTAGTGGTGATGGCTGCACAACCTTGCAAATATACTAAAACTACTGAATTGTACACTTCAAAATGGTGAATTTTGAGGCCAGCCCTGTGGCTGAGTGGTTGGGTTCACGCGCTCCACTTCAGCGGCCCAGGGTTTCTCTGGTTCGGATCCTGGGCGAGGACATGGCGCTGCTCGTCAGGCCATGCATACCACAACCAGAGGCACTCACAACTAGGATATACAACTATGTACTGGGGGGCTTTGGGGAGAAGAAGAAGAAGAAGAAAAAAAAGATTGGCAAAAGTTGTTAGCTCAGGTGCCAATCTTTAAAAAAAAGAAAGAAAATACATGCTAAAAACGCGTTTAAAAAAAAAAAGTGAGTTTTCTGGTATGTTGATAAAAACCAGACAATCTGTTATTACTTTCTGATGTTAGGATAAGAAGGATGATGCTCTGATTGGCCTTAAGTCCACCGCACTGTGGTTCCGCGAAGACACCAAGCAGTGGCTCAGTGGCTTCAGTGTGGCTATGGTGGGGGCGCTGAGCCTGGTGGGAGTGAGCAGTGAGCAGACCGCGCCCTACTACGCTGCTCTGGCCGCCGTGGGAGCCCATCTGGCTCGCCAGGTTTGACTTTTTTCTTACTGTTTTCTCTTATTTTTCCTTGGTATAAATTATAGAAATTATTTAAAAGAAATGACCTCTGTATTCACCAAGCAAGGTACTTCTAGAAACAAGCAACTTCTTGGCTTGTACTTCCTTAAATGCCCCCTCCCTTGCCCCAACTTGTCATATAAAAAACCTTGCTGTATTTTAGCGAAATAATCTAAAACTAAATCTGATTTTCCTAGAATTACTTCTGATTTATGTCTGGAGACATTTCAACAGTGTGTGAAGGTTGTGTTTGAGTTGAATTACTGTAAAGGAAACTGGTCATCACAACCGTATTTTTAAAATGTGGGCTTCCAGTGAGCATTCTAGTAAACAAACCATTCCTAGGTGTGGATCCCACTGGCCCTCAGACAGGAAATGCTAACATGTCAGAATTCTGCCCAGAAAGGAGGAAACTGTCATTTCGGGATATTCACCCAGCATCCTAGCCCCAAGAAGTTTATATTGTGAATCCACATTGTTGAGTTTTGTAAAATGAATGAACTAAATCTAGTTTTAATTCAGTGGGTTGCTTGTAAACGGACTGTATCGTTGCATCAGTGTTAGTGTTATTTTCTTTGAACGGCATCAGAAGGATGTTAGTGAGCCTGTATTTAGATGATCTGTTTCATACAGGTTATTGCAGGTTACTTATCAGTGTAAGCAAGACTTGCATAACGTGGATGAAGGAAATTAAAACCTGATGTCCATAAAGTAAGCCACCTGCTGTAGCACCTTGACTGTCTTCCTCACTAGGAACGCGGAAAGATGGCATCTGCTGATTCTCCACATTTCACTGCTTTCCTCTTCAGAATTTCTGAGCACCTCCTTTTGGTTGTGACTCTGCTCCATGGGGGTTGTCATCATCAGTTGATTGGTCAGGATAATGGACGTTTAGTGGTATTTAAGCACCTGGATATTAGCAGAGGAAGGCAAAAATTATGAGGACAATCACAAACATCAATATTTGGAACCCATTTTATATTCTAAATTGCATTTGTGGTCCTCTGTCTGGTCCTTGACACCATATTTTAAGATGGACATAGCCTTCTAGTATATGAAGAGAAGGCAGATCACGATGATTTTGCATCTACAGGCCACGTTATAAAGAATAGTTGGGAAAATGAGTGATGCTGATGCTCGAGCCTGGAGAAGAGCAAGATGGGGACCTGAGACTTTCTCGATGGCTTTGCAGGGCAGCCGTGGGGAAAAAGCAGCATGTTTGTTCCAGGTCGCCAGCAGCAGGTCTAGGGCACCAGATCCTGTCTCTGTGTGAGGTTGGGAGGGAGATTACGTGTGTGGGGCTGTGTTGGTTATCATAAATAAACTGGGGAGGGGTCACTGCTGGCGGTTAGTGGGTGAGGGCCAGGGATATTAAATATCCTTCAATGCCCTAGACAGCCCTGCACAACAGAGAGTTGTCCTGCCCAAATGTGACTTGTTCTCCTGTTGGGATACCTTGCTCCAAAGAGTGAAGCTAGACCGGAGGGTCGGAGTTGTAGGGAGCAGATTTTGGATAGTCGGTGTGAGGAAGAGCTTTCTAAAGAGAACTGCAGATAGCTCGTGTTGCCTCAGAGCGTTCCTGCAGCCCTCGAGTGGGAGTTCTCAGGGCGCAGCTTAGATGATTCCCAGTGAGAGAGGTGGTCGATTTTTCTACAGTGGGAAACAGTTTGGGGGACATTAAGGGCTTCTATTGCTTAAAATTCTGTAACAAAGTGCTGTTGTCCTCTGTGTATCGATGTGTTTATTTGTGATGCCCAAAAGTCCGTGCTGAGTACTAGTGCCGCCTTGTGTTCTTCTCTTACAGATTTACACTCTAGACATCCACAGACCGGAGGACTGCTGGGATAAATTTACCTCCAACCGAACAGTAGGACTAATAATTTTTTTAGGGATTGTCCTTGGGAATCTTTGGAAACAAAAGAAGACAGATGAAACGAAGAAAAAAATAGATTATGTAATAGAAAATTAGCAAATGAAGTTCATGTAGGAATTTTTTAAACAAACTTTTACAAAATACTCTCAGGTCTTGTAAATACGTAATTAGATTTGAATAATCAATCTTACAATGTGTTAAAGAATTAAGAACCAGAAGATGAAGACAGAGCGTATTTGCCTGGATTTTAGTTCAAGTATTTACTAGCAAAATTCTTCCCCTGTCACAGAAACCAGGGACTCTTCAGGATTTGAGATGACCTTGAGTATTGAAGTTGAGGCACTCTTCTGCTCACTATCATTCTCATCTGCACTTTTGGAAATTGTCTGACTTTGGGCACTTTGGAGGAAACCTGGCCGATGTGTATCTCTTCTAAATGAATGTCCCTGCAGGAAAATGCACTCTCTTTTTTGGGGGAAAAGAAAAGCTGCTACGGAAAGTTGGCGTTTATTGTTCTTTATTGTGACCTTTACTCACTGCCAAAAGCTGTAATTCAGGAAACCATTTTGTTTCTTATATTTTAGGAGAATTTAAATAAGTAAATAAAAATTTTTACCTACTATGCTCATACATACTGCTGTTGTTGCCCACCCTGACGTGTATTTGGGAGGCCTCTCTGTGCAGCCCTGTGACCAGAGTGGGCTGGCAGGCAGTCCTCGGGGACTATTTTAATTTCTATTTCTTTTTTATCTTATCTGATTGTAATTTATAGGATAGTGGCACACTGGTTAAAGTGTACTAACTATTTCTTCCCTTGCCTCCTTCAGAGTATTCTCAACACAGCAGCCAGAGTGATTTTCTTAAAGCCTCTGTAGGGTCATGTCCTTCCCCTGCTCAGAACTCTGTAGGGTCTTCCCACGTCACTCAGTACGGACTAAAAGTCCTGTCACCTGCTGGGCGCTCCATGGTCTGGCTTTGTCTGTGACGCCTCCTCACACCCCTCCAGCCCGCTGGCGGCCTCTCCGCTTCTCCCAGGCTGGGTGGATTGCCCAGAGTGCTCGCCTGGAATCGTGTCTCAGTCCTGCCCTGCAGCCCTTTTCCTACATGTCTCCTTCTCAGAGAGGCTTCTCCCAGCCACTGTTTGTAAACTTCTGTGCAGATGCTACCTACACTTCTATCTCCTTGCTCTTTGTTGTTTTTTTCTCTTCAGCACTTATCGCTATCAACCTAAAATATATTTTGCTCAATTTAAGTGACTCACGGACAGTGGGGTGGAGGAGAGGCAGTCACTTGTTGTGTGGGTTGTAGACAGCAGTAAACGCTAAATTGCAAAATGATAACGATGGCAGTGATGCAGCTGACAGAGTACTTAACAGCTGCCAGGCACTGATATATCAGCACAGGAAAATGTGTTTAACTCTTGATTCAACAAAGACTCAGCAACCGAGTGAGTGTTTAGACTAGGGCAATGGTGGCAGCTGTAATTCTCTGCTGTAGCAGCAACGAGTTGAAGGGGAGAAGCAGTAGAAACGTTGTGTCCTACTTTAGGGGTGTCTGATTGGCTTCTGTTTATCTAATTCTGACACTGCACCACGATAGATAAAATTTAAGGCTATGTTGATTTTTGTTTTCTTACAAGTATCACCCTGTATTTTAAAATCTTAACCCAGTAGCACGGATTCCACTTAGAGTGTATGCAATGTATTTCAATTTTATTTTGTTTTCCTGATAGTTGATGAAAGTTATGGAACAAATCTCAATATCAATAAAACTCCTGCAGCCATTGTGATAAATGGGGACAGGAGAATATAGGTAAGAGTTCATAGATTTTCTTCCTCTCAAAAAGCTGCTTAAACTTAATTATGTTAATTCCTTTTTATTTCTTCCTTGTCCCACGTAGAAAGGCTGAAAAAGTAGTATAAATGGGTAAGAGGCAGATAGGGGAGGAAAAGAGATGAGGTAGACTATTAGCCTCTGAAATCATGGACTTAGAAACAGTTCAGGGCTGGAGAGTCACGCAGCCGTCATCGTGTAGACTCAGGCGGTGTGTCTCGCGCTCGCATCAAGGGGCCCTGTAACCTCAGATAGGTGAAATTAGCAGTCTTGTCTTAGGAAACCCGCTTGATGGAGAGGACCCTTGCCCTGGTTTCCTGCTACAGAGTTACTGTGAGGTTGTAAGGAGAAAGCAGGTGAAAAGACTAGAATAGTTATGTAGTATAAGTTTATGGTGGGGGTGGAGGTGGGTGGGAGCCACAGGTAATCTGGCTGCAGAGTCTGAGAATTGCATCACTGCCTCTCCCTCTTCCTGGACTTCCTTTAAATTCCTCTGTGCCTCTTCCAGATTGTAAAGGCCTCCACCATCAGGCCGCACCCTACTGTTTCCTCCAGGTCAACATACACTCTCGCCCTTGGGCTGATCCCTTCACCTCCGGAGGCCACACTCATCAGTCTCCCTCTGCCGTCACAACTGTCCTCCTGGCAGCTGGTACAGTGGCGAGGGCCTGGCTTTCAGAGCAGACAGGCCTGCATGCGAATCCCGTTAGCAGCTGGGAGACCTCGGGCAGTGAACCGCCCTCAGCTGCCAAACCCAGGCTCCTGTGAACAGTCACCAGAGTTGGCTTATTAAAGCCCGCTAGGGGATGAATTGTGTTGCCCCAAATTCATATATTGAAGTCCTAACCCCCAGTTACTCAGAGTGTACCCGTATTTGGAGATAAGATCTTTGAAGAGTTGATTAAGTTAAAATGAGGTCATTAGGATGGGCCCTAATCCATTATGACCGGGGTCCTTATAAGAGGAAATCTGGACAAAGAGACACCGACACTTGCACACTCAGATGGCTGTGTGAACGCACCGGGAGGAAACAGCTGTCTGCAAGCCAAGGAGAGGCCTGAGAAGAAACCTAGCCTGCCAACACCTTGATCTCAGACTTCTGGCCTCCAGAACTACAAATAGAAATAAAAGTAAATTTGTGTTTTTAGGCCGTTGGGTGTGTGGTATTTCATCGTGGCAGTCCTAGCAAACGCACGAAGCCCTAACACTGCGCCTGGCACAGAAAGGGCACTACAAGTTCAGTTCACTAGAAGGCCCTCCCGTTTCCACTCCCTTTCCTGTCCACGTTTTTGTCCTAAAGCACAAGTTTTAGCCCTCCTAGTGTCCACAATGGTGGTAGGCTGAACAAAATCCTCCAGAGATGTCCCTGTCCTCAGCAGAGCCGTCAATATGTTACCTCACGTGAGGGGGCTTTGCAGATGCGATTGAGATGGGAGAGTACCCCAGTTTATCCAGGTGGGCACAATGGAATCACAAGGGTCTTTATAAAAGGGAGGCAAGGTCAAAGTCAGTAGTGGGAGACGTGATGACAATGAAGCAGGAAGCTAGAGGGATGGAAAGGAGTCACGAGCCAAGGAACGCGGGTGGTTTCAGAAGCTGAAAAAGAAGAGGGCACAGATTCTCTCCTGAGAGGCTGTAGAAGGAGCCAGCCCTGCTGACACCTTGACTTCAGCCCTGTGAAACTTGAGTTTGGACGTCTGACCTCCAGAATTGTAAGTCGTAAATTTGTGTTGTTGTAAGCCGCTAAATTTGTGATAATTTGTTATGGCAGCAATAAGTAAGCTAAAAACTATTCGAGCTCTGATTGACCTGGCTTCTGAACTGCCAGGGCGCTCGGTTAGTGCCAGTGGAGCAGTTGCTAAGAGGACAAGTCCTGGAGAGTTTGCCTTGGTTGGAATTGCCACTTTAGCACCTGCCGATTGGATGGTCTTGGGCCAGTTACCTGCTTTCTGTGGTTCAGGTTCTCATATGGGGCTAATAACGGTACCCTTCTCATGGATTTAAAAATCATCTGTCTCCATCTACTAGAGTACAGGTTCCATGATAACTAGGACTGTTTTATTCACCAGAATAGCCCCAGTACGTCACTGTAGCATTCAATAAATATTTGCCATTTATCTTCTATCAGCTAGCTAACATTTGAGTACTTGCCAGACCTGGTGTTACGTGCAACCGTCCATTAGAAATTATTAATGCCATTCAACAACGTGTGAAAAAACAATGTGACATCATAACAAAAATAGAGATTTTCATGTACACATGATTAAAACTGTAGAAATATATATAATGAAGAGTAAAGAAACAAAGACAAAGATATGTCCTGGGTGATAGGTTATTATAATATTGCTTTATAATAAAATTAGATGGGTACTGTCCTATATTTCATGTTTTAAGCTAATCTATGAATATAACCTTTAGCTCTTCCATTATTTTTACTTTTTAATATTTGCATTTAAAAAGCAGACTTCAGGGGCTGGCCCGGTGGCATAGTGGTTAAGCTCGTATGCTCCACTTTGGAGACCCAGGGTTCGCTGGTTTGGATCCCAGGCATGGACCTACACACTACTTGACATGCTGTGGCAGGCTCAGGGCTAATCTTCCTCAAAATAAAAAATAAAACTAAAAATATATACTTCAAGATAACCTATGTGTAGCCCCTACAAAAACAAAGGAAAGAAGATTACTATTAGTATTTTAATGGTATTTCCAAAATGAAGGATAGACTTGAGTAGTAAAGGGAAACGTGTACCTGCAGCCTCGGACTTCCGTGTCCCTTTAAGTGATAATCCTTGCCCACATCTGATAAAGAATTACAGTTCCAAGAAAGAAAGTAAACCCCAACAGAGCACCAAGGTTGAGTGCTACCAGTCAGTCACATTGTAAAACAGTCATATCCCCATCTGACTAAGGAGCCAACATAGTTCCTTAATGAGGTCCAAAGGCCGCCCGTCATGCTGGGCAGTGAGTCACCACATGTTGCTCAGGATCGGAAACGTGTCCAGGAATAGCAATGGCACCTTGATAGTCCTCAGGAAAAATTGATAAAGGGCATGAATAAAAAGTTGCCAAGCTTTCTTTTCTCCTATCTTTTAAAAATAATATTTGCTGCATTCTTATATCCAAACACAAAAGTAACATGTACATTGTGGGAAGTCTAGAAATACAGAAAAGCACAAAGGGAAAATAAATTCATTGTAACATTATTATTCAGAAAGATGCACTATTAGCAGACTGATCATCTTCTGGACTTTTAATAGGCATATAAACACTTTTAATAAAATTAGAGCCACACTCTACTGCTTTCACTTAATATTTTCCCATGTCTTTAAATCTTCTTTCAAAATATGTGTTTGTTGGCAGCATAGATTTTCATTAGATACATGTACTATTATCTATTTAATCCTATTATTGAATACATAGGGTTTCTGCTTTTTTTCCTCCTTCACAAACACTAGTGCTCTGAATAGATTCATATCTTTGGGCACATCTCTGTTATTTCCACAGGATAAGTTCCTAGAGGCAGAATGTCTGTGTGCACATTTCCGGGGATTGGATGGTGGGGGGAGAGGATGGGACCTGGTGGTGTGCACATTTTTAAGGTTTTGCATACATTTTCTCACGTTGCCTCCAGAAAGGTCTATATTGTTACCCTCAGCACGTGAGGGGCTCTTTCCTCAGACTCTGGCCAACGCTGACGTAATTTTCTAACCCTTGCCAATTACATAGGCAAAAACAGCACATTGTTCCACTCACATTTCTGTGATTACTAGTGTAGTTGAGTATTTTTCAAAATGTTTATAGAACATTTGTATTTCTTCTGTGTGAATTGCCTGCATGTCTTACCCACTTGGCTATTGCTCTTGTTAATACATGCTGCCTTGTTGATCACATTCCCCAAATCTGATGTTTGGCATACTTAGACTGTTCTCATTTTATACGATTATCATTTTGTTAATAGTTATAAGATTTTCCATTTTGTGCTTTAGACAGAACTGTCTCTTCCATGGAGAAGGTAACGTGTCGAACATATTTGTAGTTCTTCTCATTCATGTGTTCTATTCAGTGAATCATCAAACATTTTTGAGCATCTCCTATGTCCCAGGCGTGGGTTATTTGCTGCAGACACAGAGATGAATTAGATAGTTTCTATTGTCAGAAAGCTCACGATCTGGTACATAGAGCTGTGCTGTCCAACACGTGGCCACTGGCCAAGCGAAGTGGTTAAGCATTTGAAATGTGGCTTGTCTGAATTGAGACGTTCTGTAAGTGTAAAATATGCACTAGATTCTGGAGACATAGTATGAAAACATGCAAAATATCTCGCAAAATAGTAATGTGTTTATTGATTTCAAGCTGAAATCATATTTTTGGTGTGAGCCAAATACAATATACTATTAATACCAATTTTACCTGTTTCTTTTTTTTTAAAGATTTTATTTATTTCCTTTTTATCCCCAAAGCCCCCCAGTACATAGTTGTATATTTTTAGTTGTGGGTTCCTTCTAGTTGTGGTACGTGGGAGGCCGCCTCAGCATGGCTTGATGAGCGGTGCCATGTCCGCGCCCAGGATCCAAACTGGCGAAACCCTGGGTCGACAAAGCAGAGCATATGAACTTAACCACTCAGCCACCGGGCGAGCCCCTCTTTTTAGTTTTTTAATATGGCTACTAGGAAATTTTAAATTGCATTAGTGGCTAACATTATATTTCTGATATATAGCAACACACTATATGAGATTATTGATATTCAAAAGGTTTGACCTATAAAAATTACATAAACTCAGAGCTTTAGTTTCTTTATTTGCTAAACATGAGGAATAAAATTTAACTTCCTTTGATTGGTGTGAGGCAAAACAGATAAATTTCCTGGCATGTGATAAAAACTCGAAAAAATGTTTATTCCTTTCTCCCCCTCCTCCCGTGCTTTGAAAGGTAAGCAGCTATGGAAACAGAAAAAGAAAACCTTTAAATATACCAGTATGTCAGTGCTTTTAAAGTTCATGCCATCAACAATACCATCTTTCTATCTGTGTGGATACTCTTTCATGAATAAGTTGAGAGACAGATGATGATAAATAGAGGATGAATGGCTGGACAGATGGATGGATGAAGGGATGGACGGATGGATGGATGGGGGATGGACAGGTGAACAGGCCAATAGATACATAGATATTCAGTTATTCCTCCTCATCTGTTAATATTTTAATCAGAAAATGGGAAAAACTCCCTAGCTTTCCTTTCCTTCTCAACACTGAGCCAGAATCCTACGAGCAGAGCACAGTGCCCAGGAGAGATGAGCGGGCACTAGTTACTTGTTGGATGAATAAGTGGAACTTTTGGAGCAGGTAGGGCCATAGAGACCACCTAGCCCGATGAATCTCTCTAACTTTTGTTAAATAGGCAACAAAAATACATTTTTCAAATAAAATCTTACATAAAGCCCCAATACATAAATACAGAGGAAAGCAGAGACACGTCCCTTTAACCTGGGTGACGATGCCTGACCGCTCCCTTCTGAGCTTCCCTTTCATGTTCCAGGAGCCCCTACTGGACTTCCGGGGGGGCCTTGGGAGGCTCACAGAACCCGGTGTGAAAACCGTTTATCCCTAATTTTGCAAGTAAGGCCTGGAGAAACAATTTCCTCATAATCAGAATACGTTATTGCCGGATGAGACTTGAGATAAGAATGAACATTTAAGTCCCTACAGTTGCTAACTGTATGACTTAGAGCAAACTATTTAAACCTTTCCAGCTTCAGTTTCTTTGTATCTAAAATGAGGATTAAAATAATATCTACCTCATGATCGTGTTGTAAGGATTGCGTGAGAAAATGACCTCATCTGGTCCCGTGACTTCCAATGTCATCTGTACATGGATTACTCTCAAGTATGTACCTCCAGCATAAACATCCTCCTTGAACTTGAACAGGGTGGAACTGAATATTGAACTGCCTGCTGGGTATTTCTACTTGAATGACACACAGACACCTCTGACTTAAACACGCTCCAAACTGAGCTCCTGGTCCTCCCCTCGCACCTCCTCCTCCCACGCTCCGCACCATCTCAGCGAACTGAGTAACGCCGGCATCCACTCCTCCTGTTGCTTGAGCCGAAACCTTGGGATGGTCCGTGACTCCTCTCTTTCTCTCATATTCTATATCCAAGATGTTAAAAGAGCCTCTCAGCTCTGCCTTCAAAGTACGTGCAGAATCCGACCTTTTCTGGCTCCCACCCTGGTCGAAGTCACCATCCGCTCTCCCTGGCTGAGTGCAAGAGCTCCTAACTGGTTCCCCTCCTCTCCTTCATCCTGTTTCATTCTGTCCCCACCATGAGACCAGGGTGATCCTTTAAAATATAAGCCAGCACCTGTCGTGCCTCTGCTCAGAACCTCCCAGCCGCTCCCAGTTTCTCTTGGTGTACAGCCAGAGTCCTCAGCGTGGCCCCCAGGCCCTGTGGTCTGGCTACCTGCCACCCCGACTCTGCCACCTCTCCCCTTGCTACTGCGCCCCGGCCATCCCGGCCTCCCCCTGGTTCTGGAATGCTTCTCCAGCTTCCTCAAGGCCACCTCTTCACCTCCTTCAGTTTTTGCCCAAATGTCATCATCCCAGTGAGACTTTCTTTGTCTTCCCTTTTTAAAACCGCACACTCACCATAGATACACTTCGTTTTTTCTTTTGTTGCTTTATTTTTCTGTATAATAAAACATATAATTCATTTTATTTATTTTCTTCTTTGTCTCTCCTCACCATCTAGAATCTAAGCTCCACGAGGGCGCAGATGTTTCCTGTTGTGACCAAGACTTTATCTCCAGTGCCTGGAATAGTGACGAGACAGAGCGAGTGCTCACTAAATGTGTCGAATGAATCATGTATGTAAAGCTTTTAGCAGCGCGGTACGTGATCATTGATATTGTCATTGTTTGCAGGCATCTTCAGCATTCTTTTTCCTCTCCAAACTCTCTCTCTTTCCAGAAGCCATGTAGGAAGAACTATTCGCTTATGAGATAGCTGATTTTAAGGCTCTATTTTAAGAGAACAATTTCAACATTCACTTCCTAAGCATAGGTTTCTTAAATGGCTTCAATTTATTAGGGGTGGGAGAATGTGGAACAGAAAATGGAGAACTCGTTGAATTGATGCATGAATTTTAAAGAGGTATCCTACCCACTAATGGAGTATAAATTCAATGTAAAGAAATTGAAAGTAATTATGCAAATACTAATTAGATTCCTATTTGTTTACTTACCAGCTTAAAACTTGTGACTTGAGCTGAGAGTTAAAAGATTTGAGCTTTAACATCCAGCTGGACTTTTTAAAAAGTCTTTTTCTTTCTGGAAATACTCGTGTGCTCAGGAAAATCGATCTCACACCACATTCCTATAGTCATCACTGACTTCCATAACAGTCAAGTGTGACAACCACATGGGCTTCTA